ATTACAAAGGTATAAAATATTTAAATAACAATGATACCTTGGGGAAAGACGGGTGTTTACGAGTGGGCAAGATACAATAACATGATAATTTGCATTTGTATCCTCCAAATCTTCATAAAGGAGTTTGTAAGCCTATCACAATAACATTTAGATCGCCTAAAGTACCAAGTATGTTTTAGGATAGGTACTGTTGAGTAGAGATGGTGTCACCTACAGATCATGCACTAACAAACGCAACAAAATGACGGTGTCAAATGTCGAGAATGCTTGCTCACTCACCTCCAGCTTAACTAGTTTACTTAAATGTTGAAGATCGAAACTCAGTGTTCAGTGATGGAAGCCTTAGGCTGATAATTTTAGCGAGCTGTATACTCCTTCAATAGTAGAGACACATAGACTATGAAAGTCACCCAAAGCAGCTTTGAATTAGTGTTTATGTATTTCTGTAGAATAAGTTTTGATTATCATTGAAAATATGTCTTCAAGTCTGGAGTTGCCTCAGCAGGAAAAGAAATCGTGCTATCTTACTCAAGGGCATTATAATCTTATTTTGTCAAATCTACCTGTGTAATCCAGAAAGCATTCTAAGACAACTATTCTTAGAGCAAAATATCACCGCACTCTCTCGATTTCAGGCTTGTTATCTGTTTGAAGTTCACTGTGATTGAGAGGGAGTGTTCTGAAAGACTTATGCTTCGAATAAGTAGTAGTGGCAAGTGCTTCATTCTTACAGCCTGGATGTAGTGAATCTCTTGTAACCTATTTAATCAGAGAAAGTCTAATTACTACAGCATCTCAAGCCTAAATCTATGCTTTGGTATTTTGTCCAAAGTGTTAGGGAAAAATTGTTGTCCCGACACTAATACCCTAGAGTACAACATCCATTGTTTTAAGTCAAAAAGCAATTGAGGGTGAGGATAAACGCAATGATGCTTTAAATTTACCTTGTTTCTGTTTTTTGTTTCACCGGCTAGGACACTGGCTGTTAATTGGATTTTTTAATTACAGTAGGTGGGTACTATCGTGTATGATTTCTTGTGATTTTGTTATTCGTGGTTCGCACAGAGCTGTGATGAATATGAATGTACCATTTAGCTATTCTCACAATGTTTTGCCATTTTTTATACAGCTACAAGGTTTTTTCGTCGTTTTGGTGGTTATCAGTGCCTACTATCCCGTATATCTCTGTGCATTTCTTGGGTTGTGGTTATACGTGTAGTATTTTCTTCGCCGATATTTCTCAGTCACGTAGTATAATATGTGTCTCTTCGAATTAACTGTGACAAGCTGAGACATTAATTGGTACTAATTAACTAAGCCTTTTTAGCAATTCATCACAGGCGATCAGTGCAAGAAGAAGCAGCACAGATGTAACTGAAATTTTCCGTGATATAATACTGAGAAGATGTATCCACTGCCGGCATGAATTTGATAATTCATTGGAGGACTTTCAGATAGTAAGAAGCTTATAAAATGCTAGCGGTGTGAACCTTTTGCACACACTACGTTCATTTTCCGAGGAAAAGTAGGCGAATAAGAGCTATTGCATTGTGCTGAGATAATTTTATGGAACTCATCTCCAAACACGTGTAAACTGTGATAACTGAACTTATCCAATACTTAAGTCATAAATGATCATGCCTTGGCGATGTCCTACGAAATGGTGTATTAGTTGAAACGTAATGCTGTACTGTGAATTTAATCTGTATTACTTTCAGTAACGTCGAGTCGTAGTGAGACCTCTCACTTATATAAATCCAGTAAGAAGCTGATGGAGTTCCATTCGGACGAAGAAATCCTAAAATCACTGATGAGTGTTTTGTGACTCATCAGTAAATCGATTTGTATGATTAGTTGTGGGAATTGATTCTTCATACAAAACCAACAGGGGAAGTAAGTTCACTCACTAGCTAATAAGTATGCATGTGCAGTGGTAGATAATTCCACAAAATTATTAGCCGTATCATTCATCGTTCAACATTGGATGCCGACCTTCCCTGTTTAAGCTGACTTGTCTAGATGAAGTCTCGCGGTCAAGCATCCATGCCATTCAGCACACTGTCTTGTCACGTTCTGTTATTCATTCGCGATCCCTAGCTAATTAAGCAGTCGGCTTTGTACTACGATTTTGATCCCGAAATATATTTCGTATTTTGGACTATCAATTTAATGTTTTCATTTGTTTTTGGTTTACTTGGAACATACTATAGAGATTTTTAGTAGATGATCTTGCATTAGTATACATCGTACTATCCATGAACGTCAACACCCTCGGCCTCTAAATGGGTATTTGTTCTAGTTTTTGATGCTGGATAACTTGGGATGTGGGCATCAAGTTCTCTTTGCTTGAACCAAAAACGAGCTCGAACATGATGCAGTTTGGATACTGGAATAATCGGAGATGCTTCCGAGACGGAGGCTTTAATTTTGGACTATGTTCAGTGCATATATGTAAACAGACCACATTTGTGTTGCACTGAAATAAAACTTTCGTTATAATATTCTTATGTTCTTTTTGATATGCTTGCAGCGGCAGTGCAGCATTCTAGACTCGTGCTCCCTAAGATGTAAACTAGTTGCTATACGTAAGTGTAATTCCGTACGAGCTCTATCGATTGATAAAGGTGATAACTTGTAATGACCAGAGTCAAGTCTAATATCTGTCTACAGTTATGCTATTACCTCTCCCAGTGAGTCTGTAGGGATCATTGACAAAAAACATAATCTGTGTATTCCAAATACAAGAATAGAACTTAGATAGTGGCAGAGTTAATAGCGAATCAACTTTGAAGGGGATACACAGTTCGGACGCAGTACTTATGTCACTGCATGGTTGCCCAGCCTATCTTAAAGGCGTCCATAAACGGTGCAGTAGTCACATTCGCCGGTAAAGAGTTTCATGGATGGCAAACTCGAAGTGAAAAGAAATTGGGGTAAAATGTAGTCTTTGCTGTCTGGTGAGCTATACTTCGTGGGTTATCACCGGAAATCCCATACGTACCTAATGGCAGAATATCCTTGTTTGGATGTTTCTGGTCATTCGTAATCTTATAAGTATCAATTAAATCCCCCCGAAGCTACTACGGGCGATAATATGCGCAGAAATCCACAGAAATAGTCCTTATCCCCACTAATAATTATGAGGTCGCTTAGTTAATGATTGCGACAATCAAAATAACGTTCAGGTCATCAGCATACGGAATGGATCTACTCAGAATGAACCAGTTACATATATTTAGGTTGGCCGTAACACGGAGAGGTGTACAGAAACTTTCATTTATGACTCCGTTTTCTGTCTGCCGGTAATCAAGCAGCACAAATTTGACCATTAGTTATTCGTATGCGATCACTCAGAAGTGAACCCTCGTAGGGGACTCAAAATTGTAAGGTGCAAAACTTTCACTGTGCATGAAAACGGAAGAGATGCCGAATGCCGCTAACACATCGAAGTGCGAGATAGCGAGCCTTTCACATGATTCGCTAACACAAGTGGTGTGACTGAAAAGTTAAGTTACATGTGGCACAAGTTCATGGGCAGCTTAGAATAATGCAATCTTTTTTTAGACGGTAAGGGATTTCCTGATTTTTCTGTGCATTTGAGCCTAAATTGACTGGAACTGATGCCAATAAAAGGTAAGTGAGAATACGTAAAAAACGGTTATTTACTTGAAAAATACCATCGTCATTAAGTGTGAAACTTCAAGGAAGTTTATCTTTACTCGACCAAGCATGTTATGCTGTAGGGTACTGAGAAAATGAAGACTCTAATAGGCGGAAAATTCAAGTGGAATATTAGGTTTCTGTGGGTAAACTTCACTATTAGCACAGCATCAGCATGCTAGAATCAACCAAGAGTAGTCTTTATAATTTTCGATGCCTCTTTTAGCTATTGTTCTTCAAGGCAACTTCCGCTTGCGTTCTGCAATATCTGTAAGACTAAAAAGACAGTGTGAACCGATGACCAGGGAACGCTGCAGACTTCCATAAAGCCGTTATATGAAGTGTATCAATGTAAATGCCTGCTGAAACCTCTTTATATTCAAAACATAGATTCTAGCCGGTTAAAACCCTTCTGCTATAATTCAAACGACCTGTGAGAAAAACGGGTCTCTTACACTGTTTCGAATGGATCGTTAAGTTCACAAGAAAACCACTGTACTTTACAGTAATAACTCTACACAGTGGTCCATTTAGTCATAATGTTCCATGTGACTGCGTTAACCATTTCCTACAAGATATACCCACGCCAATATCTACATCTGGAAACATCGGCGTGAAAACCAACAATGTAGAAATTTTGGAAGATGCATGTATTCGATGAGTTTGTTAGTAGTTTAGGACGCTAAGCATACCTGAAGATGATAAAACTAGGAAATACTAATCAGCATAATACTTGGTTCATGATCTAGTTTCAAGATTATTTCATACTTCCTACCACTTAATATTCCGTTTCTGTGCGGTATTGTTAGTATATATGAACTTGTTCAGCCTTCAAAACTGGCTTCATCCACACCGACAGTTTTCTCTGTAAAATTATCTTGTGTTTCCATGGTAATTCGTCTGTCCGAGCACATGATGTTGCACACAGTGTTTTGTCCGGAAATTTATTCATAACTGGGAGGGAGTGTCTTACTAAAGGCCAAATCAAAGTATGTCGATCAGAAGGAGAAAATGGATATAATGTGATCAAGGTAGTAGGGTCGAATAAAATCATTGTACTGGAAAGTGGATTCTCAGAATGTCAGGAAGATTAAATAGGATACCTTTTTATAGTTTGTTGCCCTTATAATGTATGCTTATGTCCACCTCATCTCTTTTGCCCGAATGGCTGGGTTGAAGTTATTCATCGTATGAAGGCGTTTAATGCTCCTGTTTTCCTGCTAATGCTATTCCTTAAGTTTCCCTTATTTCAGTTTGACGTACCATATGCTTTTATTTAGGGCACAAGTTCCAACCAACCACCCATTGAAGAGACAAATTTGTTTAAAATGATCAACTTATTTCACTTTAGCAGTGGCATTTACCGAACAAACTTGAATCTACGAAATGCAAGGTCGCTCTTATAAGAAAAACTGTGTAATCGTGAGCTAGTGAAACAATGCACATTATTTGTAGTTGAATGATAACTTTGCAGGATATTCAGCGAAAAACTTCAGTCTATCCGATAAGTACAAAAAGTATATTGAGAGCATAATTGTGCCTAACGGCATGATTAGGGACAGGTATACTGAAGCATAACAAAACAATAACACTTCAAGAATTGACAAAATGTCGGTTGATATTTTAGAGTTTTTTGAATCAAATGACGCAACGTCTATTAATCTGTTGTGTGTTCTTAAAGGCGGATTCAAATTTGCGTCGGACTTGAGCGAAGAAATGCACAATAATGCATTCAGGAGAAATCGAAACATCCCTATCATCATGGACTTTGTTGTTGCCAACAAATATGCTGTAAGTGATATACTATTTGTTATTTCAGAATGATGATGCCATCGACAAAACATGTTTCAATTCATACAGTGACTTATCATCTCTGAAAAACAAGGTAATTATGTGTAAAACTATCAGGATTGATCGCAGGATGTCCTAATAGTTGAAGACTTAGTTGTCACTGGAAAAACACTGAACAAGCTAGTAGCTTACGTTGAGTCCTTCCAGCCACGTTCTGTTCATGTAGCGTGGTAAGTTAGATGTTTCTCACTGTTATTCATTTTCAATGTCATATAAATTTTAGTATTCAAAATTTTACCGATCGCTTTTTATGACGTAATACGATGCCTCTAGGAAATATTTCGCCCGCAATGTATCTTTTACTCTTTACTTTCAGTGAAGTCAACATACGACTTCTGGTTTCCCAGTGCCCTTTATGTGATGTTTCTAGCACAATATTTTATAATGTTCATAATCCCGCTTGCTAGCCTCCTTTTCGTCGTCCGTTTTTTCCTACTATCGGTTTATTTGTTATCAAGATTTCGGCTGGGCTTTTGTTATATATATATATATATCCTACGTAGATTATCCAGTTTTGTCGCATTAGTCGATTATTTGATGTATACATTGCAATCTGAAGTAAACTATTACTTTTTCATTGACCGCGTCTTAAATGTCTTAGTTCACTATTTGCACTTGTTGAAACTTATTGTTGATTTTACTTACAAACTTCACAATTTCACCCTACATGGATTTATTCAAAGTCTTTTTTATGGTTTGGGTTATAATTCTCGGTTTTATTGATCTGCAGGGTTTAAAATCAACCTGGATATCACATGTACAAAGTCACTGCATCTTAATTAACATACTGTGACTATTGAAACTAGTTATCAACTCTTGTTTCCAGGAAAGATTTTCTAAGTGAGGATACTGACGCCATGTCGATTTTTAGTGATCATAGAATTTACCAATGTCAATTTGGTGCAGAACGTTGTTTCGCCTACTTTATGTATCTCCACCTTGTTTATGGGTACGAATTTAAATTAGTATTTGGTTCATTTAATTCGGGTATCTAAAAACATACTGTTATATTAATTGGTGTTACCTTAGGATGGGCAACAGGCTACGCTTTTTAATGCGAGAATTCAAAGATGATTACTGAGTAGGTTCCCAAACAATGCATCTATTTAAGGAGAACTTCTAGGGTAGTACGGGATTTTGTGCGGTAAAATACTTTTATATCATTGGGGAATGTGAGCATTTTTTCGGTCAAGTGGGAGTGAATCTGCTTTTAGAGCTGCTTTTAATGACTGAATTTACGGAGACATAAGGCCGATCTATACAAGCACTGGGTTCCATAGCATGCCGTATATGATAGGTTAATGTAAAATCACAAGAGTTAAACAAATGCACCACTTATCTATGATTCTCTTTAATATCACATAAAGAACAAGAATTTTTGAATAGCAACCAAACAAAATTTGTGACCATAACTTGGAGATAGTTGCTTGGTTTATATTTCTTAGGTTTCTTCAAATGAAATTATTACTATAACTAACACTTTCTGGCTCTGTGCTTTTATGTAAGTAATTACAATGCAGTCCATTTCACTTGCGAACATAGAGTTATTTGCTAACCCAGGACAATCTTTGTTTCTAATTGAGTACACCGTATTTACATAATATGTATCTGTCGAACCACTTTCTTCTAACTTAGTAAATATTCTGTTTTAAAGCCAACGCGACTATTTCTACGTCTCCTGCTGAATTAAATACATAATGTGTTTTTCGAATTTAATAAAAGTCAAAAATAAGATGTCTCGTTACTTAACTACAATTTATTTTGTTTTTATAAAATGCTCGACGTTTTCATATGTTATCATATTTACATATTCTATGCTTATTCAAGAATACCTGCTGTAATCGTTATAGATGTCCACTTTACTATTCTCCTCTTATGTGTTCATTTGTGTGATACCTCTCTGCGAGTTCTCGTGTATTAAATTATTCGATTGTTTCTTTGTTGGGGAGATTTTTTGTACCTCCAAGTGCTAGGTGATTAGGGGATCCTAAAATATGCATTGAATTGGGTATCACCTCCTAAGTTCATTTCCCAATATACATTTTTTACAGTTTATTGGTAAAACGTAGACCAGATTGCTCGGGATTTCAACCAGATTGTAAGTAAAATTTTCCAGATTTGTATGAATGAACTTTTTTCATTATGAGACTATTTTTAAATAGATAGGGATTTGCAGTGAATCAAAGCATATATTAATTTCGTTTAAATTTGGGAATCCTGTATGATGATGACTAATGAGTCATCGCTACAAGCGTTTAGTAGGAATCACTGTGAACGTTTTCAAGCCAGCCAGTAAAAATTCTCAAGCCACTAACTTTTAGCATCTTAATGATCCAAATCAGACAATCCATTTACCCTGCAGTGGCTCAGATCAACATTCACTGACTTTAGTAGTTGGTGCCATCTTTTGAGATAGATACCTCTACTTTCTGAAGTCTAGTCACACTTTACCTAGATTTCTAATCGATTAAAACAGTTGCTAAGCAAATGTAACATGTGTTCTAGGTGACTTATTTTAAGAGGTTCCGTAGACACATCATCTGACCAACCGAATTTGACTAACACTTCTTTTAGTCTCAACAGTGCTTACCATGTTTATCCACTTAATGTCAATAATGAATACGTCTTTTGATGAGTAGGCGAAAAACTCCGTACTGTTTGCTGGATTTTAAATTATTTTTCTGTGTATGTGTATGCCACGACTTCCTTACTAGCCAGTTCAAAAAGGTAAGTCGACATATGCGACTAACGCATTCTCCATTCTTAACTTAGTGGGGGATTCAGATTAGTTCTGTGGGGTCATCTACACTTATACGTAGTAAAGCTCCTGCAAAATACATTCACCTTTTATGCCCGAGAATCCCGAAAAACTATATTCTGTATCGGGTTAGCATGTTTAACGAAAACAGGTGTAAAAATATCGTGAAGAAGCACACATATTCTGTGCTTATTTAACCTTTGGATAGGAAAAGCTTAGTGGATTTCGGAGATAATCTCAAGTCCAGAGGATTACCTATTTGTAAATTAAGAATTATGCAAAATTTAGTTGTGATCTACTTATCATTCAGTTGTCATAACATTTTTGGTTGTACTGGAATGTTCTGTTGCTAGGGGTGCTAGGTGTAGCTGTAGTTTATATATTCATATTCTAACTGTTGAATCATGGACTGAAGTTGATTTCATTTGAGCGATTGCTTAGATTACCCTGAATAACTAATATAATTAACAGTGATGCAGAAAAATCTTTGTCAGGTTACTGAGCTTCAACGTTGTTTTAAACTCTGCTGACCAGTAAATATTTTAATGAAGACATTTCACTGCTTCTGTGAGGATATGGGATAAATCCAACACAAATCTATGTATTTTATTTTGTGTAGTTGTTGGTTTTGAAATTCCGAATCTCTTTGTCGTTGGATATGCTATTGATTACAACGACTTTTTCCGGGATGTTCCGGTGAGTGATATACATTTTTGTTGATAAATTTTGAAGACTTAGACTAATATAACAGCGCTTTTTGTATTTTGAGATGTGAGTAGTAACACATTTTGTTTCAGAGATGCCAATGCTTCAAAAAGGTCTACTACTGTGGAACAGATCATAGTAGGTCATCTGGATACAGACATGACTTGTGATTATTCTGTATAACAAATTTCTAAAACTCTGTAGGTGGAAAATTGTCCCCGTAGTTTGTTTGCTAACTACTGGTCTTGAATGATGTAGGTTATTGCTAAGGAAATAAGTGTATACAAGTGACATAACATCATAACTACAGTGTTTTAACTGCCATATTCATTGTTATTTGTCAAGCTTTATCACAGTAGAACCTTAAAACCACCTAAAATTATCATTATTTTTTACTATCCATTCCTTTTTATGTCAATCGGGACAAAGTGCTACAGTGGCACATGTACATTACAATCTGTTTTCCACTATCCCTTTCACCTGGTTCCATCATTTCCTACAAGCTTTCATTCTCTCTCCATATGATCTTCATGTCACTCATGAATGCCCGAGTCGTCGCTAGCCTCCCACTCGAGGCCATGGTTGGTGTATATATTCAATCCACCTCTATATCCTTTTGCATATTTGTAGAATGACAGGTTGTTGACTGGTTCTCCGATAGAGTTTTTTGTCGCTTATTCTTTATGATCATCAAATCTTCAGTACTGAGTGAAGGCATCTGTTATTGAAAGTCTGCAACCAGCTAGAAATACTTTTGGTGGCATGCGCGCCAAGGTACTGTACCGTATAGAAGCGACGACTTGAGATTAGTACTAAGAATTTGTATTTTGTTCATTCTACTGAGTAAATGTTGAGGATCTTCACATCAATTTCGGAGAACCCATTGCTACTCCATCTACTTGCCTGTATATTTCGGAGTAATCAGTGCCTGTCTTGCTTTCCAGATCCCGACTCCCAGAATTATCATACAACACTACTTTTCCTGATCTTGTGGAAAACTTATAAAAATGTTTTGCACAGTAATCTGTATCCAAAATGTTACTGTTAACTGCGTTGGTACATTACTATTATTATCATTTAGGTTTAAAGTATTATTGTCCACTGACAAACATATAAAGTTATTTAATTTTACTTTTATTTCATTGCATATTTAGCATGTGTGCGTGATAAATAATGAAGAGAAAAAGAACATTTGTGGTGTCTAACGACAGCAGACAAGAATAAAAGTGAAATAAACGTATGCCCTAAACGTTTACCATTCAATTTGTCAATAATATCAGATAGTCTAATACCTTTTTTGATATATATAGACTTACATGCATACTTATTGACTTATATTTCCTTCTATTCAAGTCAATTAAAAGTAAAAAATTACTTAGTTCTACTTGATGTTTGCATTGTACAATATTGTTTTCTTAATCAAATAATACCGGTTGCGAATTATCCAGTAAAACAACTTTCGAATAAATTCTGACTTTTGATTTTTAATATATATATATATATTACTTTCAGTCTTCATGATTTGGTTTACTGGCGACAAAACGTCAACAACAATTCAGTAAGACATCTATCTGTATGCCTTTATTCACAGGGTTCACCCATTAAAGTTGGTTTTTAATAATTCTGAGGCATGCTTCATTGGATGAATGTGACTGATTACTCTTTGGCGTCTTACAGATGAATTATTCGCTATATTCAGCAAAATTTCAAATAATTTCCCTAGGTTGTAGTGATTAAATGTCAAATTTATTGTGTACTAAATGATGGGGGCTCTTGCCCGTGTATCTCTAGCTTAACTAGTTAACTTAAACAGTGTGAGTCAACACCAAATGCTGAATTATGGAAAATACCCATGTGACATAAAAAGCTATTCGTCTGTAAGGAAATTTCTGTCCATAACTTCTCATCAAGGCTCTATAGTTCAATATTGTTTCTCTAAGGCCGTAGAGAATAGACCAGTAGCGATTGTTTGAATCTATTCAGTATACAGAGTTTAGAGTTTCCCTTGTTTGAAGTAAGATTTTCTGTCGTACACAACCCTAAGAGCGGGTTGGCCTTGTTATATATATTTCAAGTGCTCACAATTCTAATAATAAACATTTCTGAATACTATTTATCAGTTAATGTTTTCAGATTACGTGAGATTAATTTTCGTAATTCTGCAATTTCTTTCCTGATATATAATTCATTATGTTTTGTTACCAACTATAATTAGTATTTGATGTCTATTGACCTACTTTCTGTAGCTTTTAATAAACAATATTTAACTTTGCTGCTTTGATGAGAAGTCATCGAAGGAATATATCTTATCTGACCTGTGTTTTGATGACAGATTTAACATGAAACTAATTTTGTTCACCTTTGTAGACATGATATTTTCTGTCTGGTGCATTTGAACGTCCCATCAGTTGTTTTCTTCTAGTACTCAAAGTATCTTGTAGGAATTTAAATACGTGATATAATTCTAGTACATATTCTTGGAGTTCATTGCCGTATTATTTCACTAAATTTGAAGACAACTAGCCATTAATGTGTAATTAGTTTGAAATATCAGACGAATAGTTGATCGGTATACATAAGTCAGCACGTAATGGCATTAAACATAATTTAATCTATGTTTGGATTATATTTAACAGAAAAATTAAATTCCGTCTGATTTAGATAGTATTTTAGAGTTTACCATGATGGCATATGTTTTTAATTGATTTGTTTTGAAAAGTCAGGCTGAATACTGTGTTGTGAAAAAGTATCTTTCAAAGTGAATTTAATCACAAGTTTTCAACTAAATGGCAGTTTCATTGCATTTTTAAACGTTACATGTTGAAGCTATTAAGACGTATCCCCAACCGTTAGATTAGATATTATTTTTCCGTTTCCATGGTGATTTTTACCTGTTTCAAATACAAGACTTTTTTAGTTTCAGTGACAAGGTGACTTGAGTTAGAGAATCATAGAAGATCAGGAAGTACCGGATGGCTATTTCGTTATAGTTTATGACTTGTCAGTGGTACCCACACATGACTCTGCAGTGCATCGAACTCAGGACCTTCAGTTTAGGAGGCGAGCTTGTTGGTCATTCAGACACTGGGTCGGCAACCAATGACTGGCTGATAAATTCTAGCTTCTGACAGTTTGCAACAAATGACTCAAAAGCCAGCCGATGTCACCGACGAGTATTCATCTCACACTCAACTTAGCGACGTCTACTGGTCATGACTTCTAGCCAGGACTTTTAGCAAGTTCATCCCACAGTCAGTTAGGGACGAGCGTTAGATTTATTTTGGACTGTTGGTTTTCAGAGATTTGAATGGCTTCAAGTTTCCCGAGTAGATGTCAGTTAGAGGAACACTCAAAACCCAAGGAGTTAGAATTCACGGGCTATCTGATTCCATCCCAATGGCTGGATGGTAAGTAGACTTGCCTCGTAACCTTAAACTCTAGGGTTTGATCGTCCTTCGGGTCACGGACACATACTGCTTAAGCGTCCCAAAATGAGAAAAAACGGCTGTCAGGAACTGTCTGGTCTTCAGTGGTTCTCTGACTGATATCATTTCGTAATGTAACTGTATATTAGTCAATTCCCTGCAGGCCAACCCTTGAAAGGCAAATGTGAGTTTGACTCACCTGAAAGATAAAATTCTTACTTCGTTTCTTATCACTGTGTTTATGTTGCTTCATTAACTGTAGGCTCACTTATGCGCTTAATGTAGTTTAATACGGTTTTGGAACGATTCCTCTTCCTCTCATGTTTGCAAATCTTATCTTTATTTTGAACTTTATTATTTCCTTTGAAATACATGAGAAACGTTGATCTAGATATGAATATAATTCGATGAATGAACTATTTTCAGCAATTTTTTTTATGTACATTTATGTTTTTATGTACATTCGTCCCGTTAATTATCGCGAAAAAGGAAATCAGAATATAACATTATTTATATCGAAATATTTTGGTATAGTAATGATTAATCAAAATACAACTGAGGCTGTGAAGACTTGTGGATTTAAACTGTGTAAAGATTGCGTAAAATAGGAAGAAGAACTGTCTAGAAAAATAGGCGTTAAATAGCCATATACAGTCGTTTGTAGTTTTCCGTATTCCTTACCCTTGATAGCTATTCGAAAAATAATTACTGACCGATAATATCTCAACCGTTATCCAGTTTTACGTATAGCCACCCACTATACTGCGCAACCAGTCAGCCCTATTTCGAAATAAATATTTATCTCATATTCAGATTTAAAGAAATGTGGTCATGTTTCATTTTTAAAAATAAGTCTATACTTTTAGATTGTATACGTTCCTGTTGTTGTCAGCAGACATAATTAATTAGAGAACCATTGAAAACCAGGGAGTACTGGACAGCTGCTGTTTCATCCTAGTTTGGGAATCATCGGCAGTACGCACCCATTGGTCGCGGTAAATCACGAATTGGTAGACGTTAGAATTCATGAGCCATTGAATCGGGTCCCAGTGGCTGAATGGTACACGAGCTTGCCTTGTAACCGGAAGGTCCTGGGTTCGAATCCCAGTGGGTGCGTACTGCCGATGATTCCCAAACTAGGATGAAACAGCAGCTGTCCAGTACTCCCTGGTTTTCAATGGTTCTCTAATTGATATCAGTCCGTGATCAACTCGTAAAACATAACTAACCCTTACAAACCAAACTATAGAAGACATAATTAAGTGATGAAATATATGATCTCAAGATTACGCCGTTATCGGATTTTAAGATGGTAGTTTAATGAAAAATGATTTAATTAGTTCCTTTCAGGTATATTTAGAAATAACTTCAGTAGTTGAAGCAGGGTGCTCCTAGAACAATACTCTAAGCAACGGACGATATCAGAACATAGGTACATCTACCCACTTGACAAGACTAGTGATATATTGTGAACCATAAAGCTAGGAGTTAAGCAACATCACTACCATTATATTTGGATTCAGATTGCTAAGTGTTCCAATTAGAGACATTACCACTACCCTAGCCGATATTTGTAATGTCTGCAACACTTAGTAACACAGGCTAAAGTATATAGCTGTGTTCTTAAGGTTAGAAACACTAGTAAGCAATAAACTGAATGCAATGGTTCCTGACGATTGCCTCCAATAACTCAATATCATTTCACAGTGCACTGTAATAGGGAGTCTCCTACATTGGTGACCATATTCTAAATTCGGTTGACATTTAAATGAGCCTCTCGGAGGTTATTTGCTGCTCAGAGATCATAGTGATAATACCCACAAACACATAACCCTATTCTGGAGGTTCAGTCTCTTAATGGGTAGCAGCCCTATTTAGTGCAAAACCCAGGCCTAGACTTTTCACTTGATTTCCTATAATCATCATACACTAATTAAAAGTAACTTTCGCTTCATGGACGAATTTACATTAGGGAACAAATACTATGTCCGAATGCTGTCATTATGTAACATAAACTTGATAATAAAGATTAATTAAAATGAACGATAGACATCACTTAAGGAATATTCTAGTTTTATTTACACTGTCCAAAGTAAATAAATATTAAGAAGAAGCGGTCAACATCCATAATCAGTCTAATTCGTGGGAGTCTGTACTACTATCTTACAAATCCCTTTCTTTTGGTTTTAAAAGAAACGAAAATATGAAGAATACTTATAAACTGTAAGAATTTCCTATTTCGGTTGCATAATATTAAGTAGAAGTTTGATATCTCACGACATTCATAGTATCTCCTGATTAAACAATTTTAAAAGATGGAATTCACTTAAAATTTGGGAATATAAATTTATGCAGTATAAGTAAACATGAATGTTCCTTTCCTTCCAATGTAGTTCATTTTTGAAGAAGTGCTAAAGTGTAGTTAAAGTAGTCACTCTTGAGAAATGTAATAGAGTCCATCTGCTATCACTAATATGTAAATCATTAATAAAGTTAGTCATAGTTTCTGTGACATTTTGTATGAATTAACAACAGTAAAACTCTTGAGACTGGCTGTGCAATAAAAAAGGACTGTTTTATAAATGCACGTGAACCTGAGAAGAGGTAGTCAACCGACGAACCAAAACATTAATTAGATCGTCGAGAATACGAAGAAATATCTGGAGATCATAAATGTTAAGCTGCAATGCTTGCCTAACTAACACAAATAACCCAATGTAACACTATGGTGCACCACATAATGTGGGTGTCTAACTGAGTAACTTCAGTTCGACCTACTGACTAAAACAATGAACGTTGGCATCCAACTAAGAGCTTCAACATAAAATCAAATGTGTTATTAAAAGGAATAGTGATTGATATAGCAAAAATATTCATTCAGACATCTATAAAACACAAAATAATCGAGCAAAGAATATTCTTTTCGATAAATTCCTCTTCTGGCTCTACAATTATATACGTATATGTTTATATACACAGAATACTCTAGATTAGTAGTCAATAACAATATTAGTGTTTTTTAAATAAAATAGATTTGTTAAG